AGACTCGTTTGTGTAAACTTTAAACCTCTGACATCTTCGTGTTGTTTTTACCTGGGTACTCTTTTCATGTTTGCTGTTTTGGGAATTTCTTCGTGATAAAATTTACAATTTGCCTTTTCAAAGGGAGCGCGGGCTTGGTGAAATGTCAACATGTATAAGCGCTATTACATAAGGCGTCTACACTCAGTGGAATACGGGTCTCTTTATCCCAACCCAAACTGAGGTCTTTAAGATAATCAAAAGCCAGATCTCTCTGGGTAGCCTGTTTGTAAAGAAATTTGACAGCTTGATTCCATCCATTCTTAGCTGCTTTCGTCCATTCACGAGGGATTCGTTTAGATAGATAATCAGCCTTCATCAGGGAACTTCGCATGAAACTTACCAGATCATCAACTTGAGATCTGACCACAAATGTATGAAACTTTACTGTCATCAGTCTGGCTTGAAAAATCTCCTCCATGCACAACTGACTTTCGTCGTATTTTTCGAGAAGTTGTAGTAATTTCGTTGTGTCAAAGAACTCACTGTACCCGTGGAAAATGCTCTTAAGGCGTTTATTCATGAGGGACATTATCTCTTTTGTTGACTCCCAAGAGAAACGACTCTTACGGAGAGATTGTTCTTGCCAGCTTACATTTTTCTTGTTCTGCAGTAACTGCTGTGTAATATTACGTCGTTCCAAACGTTTTGGGAATTTAATAGACAGAACGGTTGACGCATTTATGAGGAAATTTGGTCGTGTGATTTCCATTAGTTCAGCTTGTTTAAGCCCTTCGGTAATGTCTTTCCAAAGTCGGGATACATCGTTTAGAGCTTTTAACGCCACGAAGAGAGTTTTCAGAGTTTTTTGCAGCACTTTGTTATCAAGAACGACCAGTTTTGTTTTAGCACTTGGTAAGGACTCGGCAATTATCCGCGTTACTTCACTGTGGACTGGTCCTAGGTAAGGGTTTATTAAAGTACCAGTCTGGTAGTAGTTCAAGTCACCTTTCCTGCATGCGCTAACCTCACTTTCGTAAAACTGTTTACCATTGGCCTCAAATTCGTCTAGCGTGAACGAACTGGGGTAGCTTCCGTAGAGATGTCTGTAGATCACATTCAGTTCTACCTCTCGACTGGGATTGGTAAGTACGCCCCCATGTTTTTCAATCAAGTCTATAATCTCTTGCCACTGGTCTCTTTCAGCGTCTGAATTATTAACTGTCCCCACTTTTAATTTGGCAAGGTACAAAGGAGTTATACCATGCAGATTGGTACAGTTAACATCGACACCAAGAGTTGTGTCATTAAAAAGTGTTTTAACAAAACCACTCAAACCTCTGTAAGCCGACAAGTGGAATACTGTGAGCTTTGCTTGGCCGCTGTTGCATCCAGTATTAAAACGGGGCATACTTTTTGTAGCTCGAAGCAAGAGATCTGCAGCTCTTTCTGCAATTTCCATGCCTTCATTAGATGAAAACGGGCTCGCCCCTGCACACATAATTGCAAGGTCCAAAGAGCTGTGTCCGTGAGGAGTCAAAACAGTGGGATTAGCACCCCAAGAGAGAAACGTTCTTAGTCCAAGTAGGTTACCACCTTGAGCAGCTCGATGTAATGCTGTGTATCCTTCTGCGTCACGACATTCATCGACTACCCGAAATCCCGAAGGATGAGCCTTAATAGCTTTCATAAGTGGGCCATCTTCTGAGTAACAGTAATCCAGATCACAGACGTGTTTTTCAAAAAGGTTTTCTGAAAGTACTGTGGGGTTTGTAAATGCCAGCAAATGAAACTCAGACTTGTTAAATGGTTTGTCACATTCTACGTGAATTGTTACATTAAAGCGATTTAAAACAACGTCAAGCCACTTGCCACCATTTTGCAAGTATACCAGAAGAGGTGATCGTCCTTGGACATCTTTACATTCGAGACTTCCTCCCATCGAAAGAATGTGGTAAGCGATCACAGCTTGGCCTTTCTCGATGGCACGGTGCAAGAGTGAAATCGCTCTTTGGTCACACGTTCGCGTAAAGCATTGTTCTCGTGAAAGAAGGGTACTTGCTACTGCGCTGTGATGCCTTTGGTTTAAAGCCAAGACCCTTTCAAATGTTTCCGTCAAACACTCCGCTACAATGTCCATGTTACTTTCACAGTGACAGCTGAGCATATCAGGGGCGAATTCAATGGCATAATCTAATGGCGTTTTATAGTTTAGATCCGTTAAATATGCACGAGCACCCATTTCTAATAAGGTCATCACGGAACATTCTTCCCCATTTTTTGCAGCAAGATGTAAAGGTGTTCTACCACGATAATCAGCCTTGTTTACGTACGTGTTACCTCCACGTGTCTGTTGAGAGGGGATTTGCAGCAGTTTGTCACACTGAAAGTTAAACACAAATCTTTTAATCTTGCAATGAGAATCTGCTATTGTAAAATCTCCCTTTGAACTCCAGATAAAAGTTCTAATGTTGAACGAATCACTGTAAGGATTGCCTGACATCGTGGTATAAGTCAAGACTGGAACAGTCGTTTCGAACTTATTAAAAACAGCATAATGTAATGGGGTCATTCCGTGCTGATCAGTATCATAAATACTAGCTCCCATCTCTAACAAGGGTATTATGTTCTTGTTAATCGTACAAATGGCACCACTATGTAGTGGTGTGGAGCGGTTTTTGCTTTTAAAGTTGATATGAAGGTACGGCCTTTGAGAAATCAACCACCGAATGAAATTGTAATGGCCATGGCATGCCGCTACATGAAGTGGCGTGGCTCCTTGACAATCGTTATCTCGTGGTTGGGCACCATAACGTAAAAGCAAGGAACCGACTTCAATGTAACCGTACCTTGCAGCGAGTAGAAATGGAGACGAGCCGCAATGACATACATCTTTATTGTAATCTCTCTGTTCCTTCCAACTTAGAAATGAACACTTTTTCCCGCGCAATTCATCACTTGTAAATTTTCCTGGCATCCAGTGGTCGTATGAAGATACATTCTGAAAATGCCTACACTTTTGTGAAACTCTAGCTCCGCTAACGATAAGAAGTTCTGCGATGTAAACATTGTTCCGTCTTACAGCTTCATGCAATGATGTTCGTCCTGTGAAATCAACGCAGTGGATTGCATTATCAGGTTGGGATAAAAGAACTTTGACAACTTCAGTGTGGCTTCCAGCCACTGCTAAATGAAGTGCACTTTGACAAAGAATTTTAAATTTGTCGTCTGATAAAGCGTATTCCTTTTTATCACTGGACTCGCAATGAGGCATTGCCTGATATCGGATAGTGTCTTGAAGCCAATAAAAAGACCCATCACATCGCATGCACTCATCCATCACTCCAACCTTCAAAAGAAAATTCACAACGTTTGCATGACCTCCAGCAGCTGCATGTTGAAGTGTCACGTGATCTACATGTGCTCCACTTTGGAACAAAAGCTGAACAACGCTTAAATGCCCACTTTGTGCCGCTAGTTGGATAGCGGTCAAGTTGACCCCATTTGCGTCATGAAATAAAGCATTTCTCTTCAGCAGGCCTCGTATAACATCAATATGACCTCCCGATGCAGCTGCATGCATCATTGTAGAGTGCCAAAACGCTGTTCTGGATCGCCCAATAGGATCACTCAAAACGACGTCATCGTCCAACAGAAATCTTGGGGAAGGTGGTGGCTTTGTTCGGTGTTCGATATTGGCTCCCATACTTAGGAGAAAGTCGACGTTTTCTGCAATGCCATTCAATGCAGAAACAAATGCTGGTGTAAATCCATAGTTGTCTTCACAATCAATGGTTTCAAACGCAGGAAGAAGTATCTGAAGAATTCTTCGATTGTTATTAGCGGCAGCGAGGTGAAGAAGTGTCCTTTTATTCCTGTCAATTGTAGCATTTATGTACGAAGCTTTGATATTGCGGAACTCCTCGAGGAAACCGTCATCAGTGTCCTCGAAGCTAATATGTTGTGCTAAGCGATAAATATCCATTGACGAATTTTGAGCTTGTTTCACAATGCTCAAATAGTACTCAGCTAGGCGTCTGTGGCCATGACTCCGACTCACATAGTACGGGTTTCCAAGGTTTTCCCTGCTGGTGAGCCACTCCGTAAAAGAAAGGTGAAAAAGAGTGATTGTGTTTCCTTCCCCATATCTAATGAAATGCGATAGCCCTTTCAAGGTATAAACAAAATCGTATTCATAGTCGATCTTTTCCTGCATTTTTAAAACTTGGAACAAATGATCAACGTGCAAAGGTTCAAAGGCTGCCACCATGACCTCTAGCACTGCCAAGGCAGGTTTAAATTTCTCTCTTGATCCATAAACCCTTCTCAAGTAACTCTCGTATATACCGCCAATTGTTTTCGGAAGCTGGTTTAAGTCGATTTGATTGTTCCTGTCATCTTTCCAAAAATGGAACATCTCTTTCACAAACAGGAAATTTCCTTGACTTTGACTTAATAACTTGTTTGTCATAAAGGCAATTTCTTCACCACTGCTGAAGCCCAACATTACTTTCAGCTTAGCAAGAAAGGATGCATCTTCAAATAATTTGGTTGCAATAAAGATCTCAATGTCTTGCAAGTTCCTTACATCTGACGGAGACAAATATACTTTTCGAATCTTAGCGAAATGCTTCAATACAGTGGAGTCATTTCGCGAGGTCATTACAAGCGTTATCCATTTTGGAAGCCTGCTAAAAGTTTCTTCTATAAATTGAGCTATTGCAGTTCCACCGTCGTAAGTAGAGCACTCATCTAAGGCATCAATGACTATAAAAGAATCTCGAAGTTTATTTTTTAGCTGCCGTAATGGAACCACAACAGATTGTTCGAAGCAGTCGTAGGGATCTCGCAAACAACTTCGTTGAAGGATTTCAAGTATAAACGAACTGTTGGAAATCAACATCCCGTATTCTGGAACCCTTCTAGCCATCATGTGGACTAAATTACGTACAAGTCGACCGGGATCTTGCGTTGACTGGTCTGAATACCTGCATAAATGGTAACCAATGATTCTCTTGTGAATGAAAGGATTGGATGAACGGGAACAAATCAGCTGGGCGGTTAATGCAGATTTCCCTGTACCTGGCTCACCAACCACCACAACTCCCGTCACATTATGTTGTTCTCTCAAAAGTGACTCTAATTCTTGGTAGAGCCAATGACGTCCTGTGAAGCTTTCTCGGGCAGCATTTAGGTTCCTAGTAAAATTGAATTCCTTTGTGTTAAAAGGAACACTGCCAGTTTCCAAGGGACATCCTAACAAAGGAAGAAGATGATTACAATTGATGTCAGATCACTTCTGTAACGTATTTACCAAGGGTCTACCATAACGTCAGAATAACATTTCCTCTTTCACAGAAAAGCTAGCTTTCTAGATCGCGGTAGTAAACATGCGTCTGTAATATCTTTCAAAAGGAATTTTTTAAAAATTTTCTTCTAGGAATATGGAACTCTCTTACGACAAATCCGTCTTTAAATGACCTTGGGCATGTTTCCAATTAAGTGGAACTCGAGATTCGTGGGGGCGGGTGTGCCATGAACGCCGACTTGGCTAGCTATAAGCATTTCCTCTCTGCTTCGATCCTTCCCGAGCTTGCCAAGATAGACCAGGATGGCACCCGATACAATTTTCATACAGAGGATAGGTGAATACGTACTTAGGCTTCCTTGCGCAAATACAACCCATAAAACTGCGATACTTAAACAAACTACTGGTTGCCTTTTAACTTACCATCATTGTAGGAATTGTGGTTCAGACATTTTAAGCTTCCCATGAATACTATGACAACCATCCAAACCGCTAGAGAACGGGTGTTCAAGCTACGAAGGTTTGAGAGAATTTTGTGTTTGGTTTCCAAGAATGCACCCTTTGCAAGGTTAGAGACTTGCGTGGCATATGAAATATTCCGATTCCTTTCATCTTCCATTCTGTCTTCAATACTTTGCAAAAGCTTAAACATCTTGCTTTGTTTACGTTCTAAGGATGACAGTTTCTTTTGCACCTTTCTGCTGAAACTTGTGCAATTTCGCTTCAAGTCTTTGATTTCGTCCCCAATACCATCCAATTGACCATAAACTGTAACCTGGAAGTCAGCCAGTACCTTTCTCTCTACACTTTGCGCATCGAAGTTCTTTTCCATTAAACTTATCTCTGAAAGGGCTGCTTTGGCGTCATTGTCAGCAGCTAGCTCCGGATCCTGTAGGAGATTTCGGATATCTGTCAATNTCTCTATCTTCCCGATAGTAGTCATATTTTTGACGTTTTCCTACGACTTCATCCTCGTCGCCACTGTCATGTATTTGGTTTATTGCAATCAAAGCACATGGAACAGAATGCGCATAAGTGCGCATGCTCATAATGTTAACCGCTGGCTCAATACACTACACTTGCAAAAGCTTAAGCATCTTGGTTTGTTTATTTTCTAAGGATGACAGTTTCTTTTACACCTTCCTGCTGACACTTGCGCACTTTCGCTTCAAGTCTCTGCTGGCACTTGTGCAATTTCGCTTCAAATCTTTAATTTCGTCCCCAATACCATCCAACTGACCTTTAATTGTCACCTGGAAGTCAGCCAGTACCTTTCTCTCTACACTTTGCGCATCGAAGTGGTTTTCCATTAAATTTATCTCTGAAAGGGCTGCTTTGGCGTCCTTGTCAGTAGCTAGCTCCGGATCCTGAAGGAGGTTTCGTATATCTGTCAATACATCTACCTTTTCTCCATCGGTGAGCTCCTGTCTTGCGGCATGCCCCCATTTTGTATTACGCATCTCTCGCACGGCATCAACAAGGTGTACTTGAACACGGAAATAAATGCACCAAAACATGAGGTTGGTTAACCCCGTGCAGTCAGTACTACTCGCGTCCACGATAGTAGCCTTACTAGGCCCTAAATCGGACAT